ATATGACATATACATATGACATATACATATCCATGCACGTATGCATATGCATATACTTATACTTATACTTATTCTTATACATATGCTTATACTTATTCTGTTTATACTGATACTTACACCTGTACCTACACTTCGACTTAAACTTACATTTGTAAATACACTTATGCTTATGCTTCTACTTCTACTTCTACTTCTACTTCTACTTATACTTATACTTATACTTGTACTCGTGCTTATGCTTAAACTTGTACCTGCACCTATGCTTATGCATACCTTTTTAGTAGATGTATATGTTGTATTATTTCTATTTCTTGATATTTTCGATTTAGATACTAGACAGAGAGAGCTGCCAGCTCAGCTGTATCTATTTATGCTGCTTGCGCCCAGTCGCATGTGTGTAGAAGTAAGCTTACACATGCACGCTTACGTACGTGCATAATTAAACACATACATGCATACGTGCATACATGCATACATACGTACATACATACATACGTACATACGTGCATACGTGCATACGCCCATACGTCCATACGTCCATACGTCCATTTGCACATGCATATAAAGCCCTGTTTGTGTTATGTTTGTAGCTATCTTTGTCTTTATGTTGAAACTTACACCACTGTTTATACCCATCTCGGAATTTATGTCGTGTGTACACGTATATGTCCATTGCCAGTGTTGCTGGCATCATTACTATAGTGTCCTTGATCGATCTATCTATCTATATTATATTTCTATCTATCGATCTATCGACCTATCCATCTGTATATACATATACACGCTGTATACACATACAAATATATTCTCTTTCTCTCTCCCCCCTACGTGCCTTTGACACGACCAGCGCGCTCACTGACCTGAGGGAGAAACTGGAAGATACTAGCATCTTGACATCAAGCCCCAAGCCCTGAAATTAACAAATTCTGAACCCTGATTCCAAAAAATCAGGTAGCCTCAGACAAAAGGATCCACGGCGCGGCTTTACACAGATCTGCATGCATGGGGCTTTTGGGCTTGGATTTCAGGGCCCCCCAAACTACTGCTAAATCAACCTGGCCCCAAATCTCGCAAAGGAACAGGCCACCTCCACAAAAGGGCCCCCGGAGGTCACATGAGCATCGGAAGTTGCATCACGATCATCATGTCGGGACTACAAGGGGACACTATTTACAGCCTTTTGGGCCTCTAAGTTGGGCACAAATCCTCAAGCCGCCGGCCAAATTCCCAACAGCTACCGAGACTAAGACCGAGGTCTCACCCCTAGCAAGGTCGAGTGCCCCCACGGACAAGTTTAGGTGACCTTGCTTCTGGGTATTAAGTGTTAGGGCGTCTTGTTTCGGGATCAGGGCACGGAAATCCAGCATACACTTGCTTTGGGGCCTGTCGGATTTATGGAAATTTCGGGAGCCGTGTTGGCAAGTCCTTACACCCCGGTATGTAATGACCCCTGCAACCCTTGACCCCAAAGCTAAAAACCCTCAAGGCCCTGAAACGGCAAGAAACCAACAAGGTACCGCATATTTCGGATCTGGTCGTGGGCTAACTGATCCTGGCGTTCCAGGCACCCGGGCTGCAGCACTCGAGGCGACGGCGCTTCGTCCTTCTCGAGGTTCGGAAAGAGGCTCCTGAAAGAAAGAGACACGTTGGGGGAGTACTTAAAAGGGAATAATGCAGCAACGATTGCAGTAATGAAAGTCCTGATAGAGGAAAAGAGATCATTACTACTGCTACCCATGCTTCTCATGGCCAGCTAAGATGAGCGAGGTCGGCAGTCAGGAGAGCGAGCTCATTATTCTGCCAATGCATCTTGGAGCCTGGGGTTCTTTGAGGAATTTCGGGGTTTCCAAGAAGTTGAGGTTACTTACATGTGCATGCATAAATGCTCACGTACATGCATACACATACATAAACACACATACACACACACATATATATATATACATACACATGCGTACATCAATACATACGTACATACATACATACATACATACATACATACATGCACACATGCACACATGCACACATGCATACATACATTCATTCACTCATTCTTTCATATGTACACACTTGCATACATGCATACATGCATACATACATACATACATACATACATGCACACAGGCAAACATGCATACATACATTCACTCATTCATTCATATGTACACACTTGCATACATGCATACATACATACATACATACATACATACATACATACACGCGTATACTTACTTTCTTACTTACATACATACTTACTTTCTTACATACATACATACATACACATGCATATCTGCATACATACATACATACAGACAGACAGACAGACAGACAGACAGCCAGGCAAGCAGGCAGACAGACAGACAGACAGACATGCATACGTATATGCATGAAGATATGTGAATATACTCATACACACACACATATATATATAGATATATATATATATATGTATGCATACATATATGTATATGTACACACATACATGGATACATACAAACATGTGTATGTGTATCTATATATATATACATACATACATATATAGTATATCTACGTATATGTGCATATATCTATATACGGATACACACATGTACACAGACTCGCCTATACACGTGCGTACATACATACACAGATGCATGCATACATACATACATACATACATACAGAAAGACTAAAAATAGCAGACTAATAATAACTAGATCTCTGTATCTGTATCTATTATCATATATCTACATCTACATCCACAGCTATATCTACATCTATACCTATGTCTGTCTCTCTCTCTGGAAATACATGCATAGGATGAGTCTGTGTGTGTGTAGCCATGCACTACTACAGTATAACTACACACAGACCCTTCCGTGAGCCGGGCCTGAGCTGCAAGCCAGCCACGGGCTTGGCCTTCACCGACCGATACCTGGCGGTTTAGGGTTCAGGGGTCAGGGTTTAGGGTTTAGGCTTAGGCACGAGCGCAAGAGGCTAGAGTAGGCAGTGCGGCTGTGCGCGGAGCATCGCAGAGCAGAAGACATAAATCTGTCGGCCCGACGTCATCCGTCGTGAGGTCTCAGTTATTGCTGGAGTTGCTCATGAAGCAGGAGGGACTTGAAGTGAAAAGTTGGGTTTTCGTGACGAAGGGTGTCACAAGGTGCAGCAAAACTGTCAGAATTGACACTGCGAGGGTTTCTAGCATTTGGAGCGCAGGGTCCAGGGTGGAGGGATTTTGGTTTTCAGTTTAGGGTTGAAAGTCTGGGGAGTTCAATCTCTCAGCCTTTTCAAAGTAGAACGGGAGCCACTCAGCATCCAACCTCCATCCCCAATTGACTACATCCGAAGGTGTCACCAGGTGGTGCTCCACCTGCCTTAGTGCCCGGCGCTATTGTTGAAGGTCTCCTCATGCGTTTCCTCGCCTCGGCTGCAAGCCGCAGATTGGCAGTTTGGGAGTTTGGGAGCTCTGCGAAGACCCTAGGTGGGCATTCTCTGCAAACGTCGCGAGGCTTGAAAACGGGACCAGATCAAGGAGAGGGTGAATACGTATACCTACGCACATATCGCACACACACACGTACCCGCTCACTTACATGCATACCTGCATGCATACATACATACATACATACATACATAAATACATACATACATACATACATACATACATACATACCATGTATGCATACATGCATACATCCATGCATGCATCCATACGTACATATACACATGCATGCAGCTTTCATCCGTTCGTTCCTTCCTTCGTTCGTCCGTGCACATGTGCATGTACAGCCACACATGCACCCGTAGGGAGCCATACAGAGAGAGAAGCAACCACAACAAACCCTTAAACCCTTGCCGCTCCGAAAGCATCATCCGGGTGCCACACGCATCTCGCTATCGGCGAAGAGCTGCTGTATTCTGCTGCTCCTCACAGTCATTCAGCTCAGTTACAGTCCCCTCTCTGGCTTTCACCTTGAAGAGAATCGGCACTTGCAAAAACCACCATATGTATAAGAACAGATGCATGTACACATAAATGTAAATGACATGTAGAAACAGGCACATTTAGGCACCTATCTCTCAATCGATCAACCTACGTAGCTATGTGACCATCCATCCATCCATCCACCCATCCATCCATCCATCCTGGATGGCAACCTGCAAACCGACACACGACGGACTACCAGCATGGCTCTTGGGCCTTCTTGCGAAGTCAAAGGCGTCTAAGGAACCTCAATGTGCTGTTAGCAGTCTTCCCGCTCGACAGATTCGGACGGAAGGGTCCCAGGTCCGAGGCGTACCGGTGAGGATGATGATGGAGTCCAAAGCTGCAATCATGAACCCTAAAACCACCGCTAACAGCTGTTAATGATATCAGGTCAGAGCTGTTCCAGGAGATGGAAGCACCTGCTGGCCCCTGACCGCTGCCGTGACGGTGGCTCAAGGTGCACCGTTGGAGCAGGAACCAGGTGAGCGGAAACAGTGCCGATGCACAATCCTTCTTCAGACATGTACATGTATCCATTTCGTGATCTTCTTATTCTTCCGGGGATTACATTTGAGCTTGTGCGGCTACTTAGCACATTCATTGCACTCAGGGTTGTTACAGTCCTGGGTAGTGCTGTCTGCCAATCAACATGGCAGCGGAGCTTTGGTTTGGCTGCTTCGCTTGAGCCTTCGATCCAGGGCGGTATACAGCACGACGTGAACTACGAGTACGAGTCCATGGACAGCAACAAGGATGATGAGAAACGTGTTCCACAGTTCAGTGGCAAGCTTGATGAGTACAGAGATTACCGAAAGCGAGCCCTTCTTTATTTCAATGGTCTAGAGGACAGCAAGCAGAATCTTGCAGCCCCCCGTTTGATCGCAAACTTGGGTGGGGCCGCCTTTGAGTGCTTTCGCGAACGGGACCCCGCCGAATTTCGGAATACACGTGGAGTGGCGCAGTTGCTTGCAGTCCTCGATGAGAGGTTCCAGTTTACACCGGAGCAAGAGTTATCGGACAAGCTTGAGGACTTGCTCTTTAGGCTTCGCCGCCGCCGTGGCGAAGAGTCAACTTCCTTTGTGACGAGGTTTGAGACATCACTTGCAAAAGTAGAAGAGTTGATCACGGAGGAACAGCGGGCTGAGCGTAGGCGACAGGCAGATTTGCAACGATCAGAGTACAGAAGAGCGAGTCTGGACTACATGGTCGCCCGACGTCAGCATGAACTCACGGTGGCGGGATTAGCCACGGGGCAAGAGCCTCCTGCAGAGCCGATCGCACCGGCACCTCCAGCAGACCTTCCTCAACTACAACCTTTCCGATTCCCAGAAGTGGTCAAAGGTTTCATCTTTCTCAGGCACATCGGCATTTCATTGCAGACCCGAGCATCGCTACTAAGGTCAAGTGGTGGCTCCTTGCGCTACGACAGAGTGTCGGATCTGCTTAGGCGGACAGAGCTAGATGCTTTGGTGGCCAGCCGAGCGCAGGCGACCAGTCATGGCCATGGTTTCTTCGCCGATGCACCTGAGGACGAAGATCCCTTTGAAGAGTCAGAGGGAGATGAACTTGAAGAAGACTATGATGATGATGATGAATATGGCGCCTTCGCTGAGGGTGAGGAAACGGAACTCACCGAGGAGGATGCTGTTGAAGATGAGGATGGCGATGAATATAGCGTGGCAATGATGGGCTATCTTGAAGCCCACAAGAGACTCTTGAACCTTAAGAAGGCACGAGGCTTCAAGGAGCCTGTGGATGGACACGCCAGTGGAAAAGGGGGCCACGGCGGAACCGAACGAGACCGACGAGAACATCGCGATCGAGACCGTGGCCGTACCACTACGCCATCACGCAGGCCAGATTTCAGCTGGAGGGACAAGGAGCAACGACGATCCTCACAGAAGTCCTATGCCGGGCGCCGGCCTCGCACACCACCTCCAACACGAGGGAGCGGACTCAAGGGAGGTGGCAAGACCAAGACCAAGAACAAAGGCAAGGGGCATCGAGCTTCAAGCAGTTCCCGCCGAGGCGAGCCAGCTGGATCACAGTACTTGGGGATGGCGATTTCGGAGCCCAAGGTGGAGTTGGACTTTCGCCCCGAGTTCAGCTACATGGCGTATGCGACGGCGGCGACATCAACATCCACCTCATCCGCGAGGCCACGCACGAGTCAGGAGTTTTCTTATGTGTCTCGGCAGTCCTTCAGCCATCTGGAAAGTTTCGTTGAAGAGTGTTTGACTTTGGATAGACTTATGGGTTTGGAACCGGCGATTCCCGAAAATGCAGAATCATGCTGTCTGGTTACCCCGCCTGGTTATGCGATCCTAGATACGGGATGCACGTCCACTTTAGTGGGTGATGAGAATGAGCGCCTATGGAGCGCTGAGCTTGAGAGGAAAACCGGTGGGGCACTAAAACCAGAACAGGGAGATTCGGATGTCAAGTTTGAAGGCATAAATGGAGAGACTAGGGCTTCATACAGGGTGAAATACCCGGTGAGGATTGGCCCTAGGGATGGTTTCATCCAGGCAGCGGTGATTCCAGGAAAGGCACCTTTCCTCCTGTCTATCCAGGCCCTTAGGGCGATGCGCGCCAAGCTGGATTGCGAACATGATGTACTTGAGGTCCCCGGTATCGGGAAGGTGCCACTGGAAACCAACGCTGTAGGACATTACCTGCTGCCTCTCCTCGACTTTTCCTCGGGACACGCCTTCGCCTCAGCTGAGGCGGGGCTTGGTCCGGACAGCGAGCTGGTCATAGACGAAGCTGTTTCAAGGCCCGGGGTTATCGTATCAAGTCCTCCAGGTTTGGATGAGGCTCCGGTTAAGGGTTCAGCGACAGTTCCGGCTCCGGACCAAGACCCAGACCCCCAAGTCGAATCAGAAGCCGCGCATGTCCCTCAATACAACGCTGTCCGGGATAGGTCTGATGGGTATGCCATTGGGGCCCTCGTTAGGCTGGCAAAGGCGACTAGGGGCCCATGGGTAGAGACCTCGAAAGAAATGACAACGTTGTATCCCATCCTTGGGAAACATGCTTTCAATTCAAATCGGAAGCCTTGGCAGGTGAAAGCAGCACAGATTGGGTATCGATCCAAAGTTTTCCGGAGACCTCCTGCGCGCTTGGAGCGTGCATGGGTGCTGGTCATGTCACTCGTAGATCGATGCCTTAGTGTGCTGATAGATTGGACTGAGTGTGAGCGTTGCGTTGGAAGGCTTCTGCCTCCAGTAGGCGATGCTTCATCAAAGTTTTTGTTTGTGTATGCGTATCCACCTGCCGAAGATTCCGAATCACCGATGCCAAAAGAAGTGTGCGCTCCACCATCCGTTCCTAGCGCTCTCAGTGTAGCTGAAGCTTTTGTTGCAGCTTGTTCACCGAGTGATGCAGCAAGGACGAATGTTGTTGTTGAGCGCACCTCTGAGCATCAGCAGTGTAGCGAGTCATTTGAGGTAGAGTCGTATTTCAGTTGCGATGAGCCAGTCGAAGCTTTGTGCCTGCCTGGTCAAGCCGGATACCATTCAACCTCCGCGGTATGCTCATTGCAGTCACCACATGATCGAGGCTTTCGGGAATGCGACGGGGAACACCTTCCATTGCAGCCATTGCCGATTGAAGTGCAGGGAATGCAAAGGGAGAGTTGCCAGAGTTGTGAAAGCCACTGGAGAGATCCAGTACAGCCATCGCAGGGATTGTGCAGTAACGCCCATTCCAGGGCCATCTGCCTTCTCGCTCCTCGCAGACGGGGATTTGGTGCAGGTCGAAGGGGCCCCCGAAACCATCGACAAGGGAGGCCTCATCACGTATCCGTTCAGTGTGAGACGGGTTGCCATGCTCCCCAGCAAGCTGGAGCAGTTGAAGGAGAACGACCGCAGAGCTTCCGAATTTTCTCAGGAGACAGTGAATCAGAAGCCAGCCGAGCAGGAGATCAAGACATTGAAGACGAGTGGAGCCTTGACTGGAGCCACCTCGACAGGCTACCCTGTCGGGCATCCGCATCCCAAGGTTCCACAGCCTGCAGCTGCTGCGGCGTCGGGCTCTCCAGAGCTGGGCGCAGTCATGACTGCCGTCCGGGAGATGTTGGCCAAGGAGTACGCGGCAATCCCGCAGAAGCCGGATGTCACGATGAGTGGCGAAAGCAGCATCGTGGCGCAGATCATGGAACTGGAGGGGCAGGCAATGGAGTTGATGACACGGGCAGCCCACCTGCGGCAGCAGATCGGCATGCCAGTCAATCGGTTCCTAGCGGGGCCCACAGCTCAGGCTACGAGCCAAGGGTCAACACCGAGCTCCCAGTGGCCAGGAGTAAGCAGCACAGCAGTGTCCGATCCAGATGCCTCCGATGCTTGGGAGGCGTTGCGGCTGCGCTGACTGCACATGTCATGCCTGAATCATTGACACCACATCTTGGTGTAAGTACGTTGAACGATGACGGTGTTATAAGTGAGTGGCCCCGAGTTTCTCCCGAGGTTCAGGTAGGAGACATTGAGGATACCCCCGGATTGGAGCTACCTCAGGCATGGAAGGCAGCTCAGAGCAATTTTGAGCAGTTAGCTTCCCGCGCTCAGCTTCGACAGTGGTTGGGTCCGCAAGCTTGGAAGCTAAGTCGGAATGTAAAGGTTGAGCTGGTAGAGATATTCGCCGGTAGAGCTCGTTTGAGTGAGGAGTTTGAGTCAGCCGGCGGATCCGCTATTCGTCTAGGCCGAGCCTGGGGACAGGAACTCCAAGGAGAGGAAGCTCGTTGGTACGTGAGGTCTTTGATTAGCCTGGTGGGTCCCCGTGATGTATACGTAGCATTGCCTAGGTTACAGAAAGCTCGAGGAGCGTATTCAAACAGCACCCTTTTCTGGTCCCGTAATTTACGTAACAGGCGTCAAATCCTCCGTAACCGATTGTCTTCCAAGTCCCATCTCGATATGCTGTTCGACGTGCTTGAGTATCAGAGCTCTCGGGGAAGGCATTTTAGTGTCGAGGGTCCCAAAGACTGCCCGGTGTGGAGTGATGTGAGGTTTCGCAAGTTGACATGTAGGCACTACTATTCCTCCTTCCATCACTGCGCCTTGGGACTCAAGCATCCTCGAACAGGCAGGCCAGTTCGCAAGAGCACTACCATCTGTACTACACGGCGTAGACTAGCCGAGCATATGCGTCAGTACCAGTGTGTATGCGCAGAGGCGCATGAGCAAGTTGCAGGGGTCTTTATGGGTAGGTCTGTTTCTTCATGGACTTCAGAGTCGACCAAACAGAAGGCTCGTGCACTTGTTACCGGCTTGTCATTGCCCATACTCCCCAGCTTCGGCCAGGCTGCGGAGGAAGGGGTGTTCTATGAATCCAGTTCGCCACTCTTTGAAGACAGGTTTCGGCATCAGAAAGTTTTACCATGTGGATTGTTTGCGGGCGGAGTCCGTGACTCAGCATTTCCCGTGAGCCCTGGTGAACCTACGATCTTCAAGGTAACGGACCCCGAAATGTGTAAGCAACTCAATGCCCTTCAATACCCAGGAAGATATAAGAGAGATGACTTGCCAGCCACGGTACAGGCGCAACTCAGAATCTGGAGTGGACTAGAGGTGGATACCGTGACCACTGCGAGATCTCTCAAGTGTTATGTGAATCTTCCAACTGGTGTCGTAGCAACGAGAAGGACTACTGTTGCGAGGGTAGCGGGGGAGTGGCATTATTTAGATCATTGTCATGAGCTGCAAGGGACTAGGAGACTGAGGTTACCGGTTAACTGCCAGTTGATAGTAACTTTCTTCGGTGACCGTCCAGCGCCTGACGCGCCAATTGCAGCCGAGACTCAGCCTGTAATCAAGCCAGTCCCCGGTGTTCAAAGTGTCACAGATCAGCGGAAGGTTCGAGAGTATCTTCAGCGCTTACATGTTGGACTAGGCCACTGTGGTCGTGCCGAATTCTTGCAGCACTTAAAAGACGCAGGGGCAGCTGCTTGGTTACTCCGACAGGCAGAGCGTTTCACGTGCCCACTCTGTGAAGCACAGCGTGCTCCAGATGCACATGCAGTGATTGGCTCAGCACGTCCACGTAGCTTTAATTCAGTGGTAAGCATAGATACGTTAGACTTAACGCTGGAGCGAGACTCGGTTCAGCATCGGGTATTTCTGCTAACTGCTGTTGATACTGCTACGTCGTTTGCAAGGGTGTTCCACTTGGCAGCTGGAGACAGCGCCACGGCAGTGCAGCAGCTTGAGCAGGGCTGGTTCCTCCCGTATGGTGCTCCAGAGTATATCTACTGCGATCCAGACACAATTTTTAGGAGTGACCAGTTTGGCCAGTGTCTTGCGCGGCATTCAGTAGTTCAAAGGCTCAGCGCTGCTCAGGCGCCGTACCAGCACGGCCAGATTGAACGACTGCATCGTACGCTGCGAATGCAGGCCCAGAAGGTTTTCCTAGAAGAAAGGTCCTGTTCGCCTTTTGACGCGGCTACAGCAGTCATTCAAGCTCGAAACGAGTTGATGCGAGTTGAAGGAGTGTCACCGTCAGTGTTGGTTTTCGGTAAGTTGCCTAAGGCTCCTCCAGGGCTTGCAGAAGCGGATGAAGACTATCAGCTCTTAGCAGAGAGACTTCATCGGGAAGACCCGCTGTATGAGACGTTGATGCTCCGACGAGTGGCAGCTCGTACCGCGTGGGTGCAAAGCGAGGTCAGAGACCGCACTGCTCGCATCTCAGCCACGAGACCTAGACCTTACAAGGGCCCGTACTACAAGGGGCAGGTTGTACTAGTCTACCGCAGGCGTAAAGGTGACGCCGCAAACCCAGGTCACAAGGGCGTTTGGCTGGGTCCGGGCGAGGTCGTGGCAGTTGAGAGTACCTCCGACAAATTGGTTCCGCGTGTCATATACGTTACTGTGCATGGTAGGTTGTTTTTGTGTAGTCCTGAACAACTGCGCCCCGTAAGTGTGAAAGCCGAGTGGGTGAGAACGCAATTGCAACAGTCGCAGTCTTTGCAACCCACCTTTCAAGACATGCGTATGGCACGTGGCACCGATGTCCGCGCGGAACGTCCAACTTCTGCGGAGTGGGAGGCGGCTCATGAGGTTCCGGACACGCATGTCTCTGTTGAGGACCTCAAAGAAGAAGCTGACTACGAGCCTCTGCCGCAGGCGCCTCCCACCCCGGTCCCGGGCACGCCTGTTCCCGCCCGTTCCCGGCACCCCGCGGCCGTCCGTTGTGGCTCCACCACTTGTGCCGCTTGACTTGCCCACCCCGGCAGGCGGCGAGGCTCCTGCAGACGTCGGTTCTCTCAAGCGGGGGGATAAACGACCTCACGGGGAGCATGCAGACGTAGAGTTGGAGTCACAGCACAGAGCTGAGCTGGGACCGGGAGCAGGTTCGCTGCTGGAAGGTTCACCTTTGCAGCCGTCTTCTTCCACAGTCTTGCGTGGTGACGAGTCACGAGGTTCACGAGCTAGAAGCCGTACTCCTAGTCGTAACCCACCTGCTCGGGAGTCAAGTTTGTGGGCTTTCGCAGACTTTGAGGGAGACGCTGCTGATCATGCTGCCGAGGCATGGTACAGTGAGTCCAAAGAGCATGACTACTCAGGCTTGGCTTTAGGCGTTGAGTTTGATGTGGACTTTGAGGAATTAGAGAATGATGAGTCAATTCGTCACATCATAAAGGAACTGTGCTTTGACGCGACAGCAGTTCACAAGCGCAAGGCAGAGATCAACGAACGGTACTTAACAGCTTCTGAGAAGCAGATGTTCAGAGAGGCAAAGCGTGCGGAATGGTCGCAGTGGGTTGCCAACGAAGTCGTTGAACTCTTGAGCCGCAGAGGCATTGACCCTCAGCGCGTGATCAGTAGTCGTTGGGTTCTTACTTGGAAACATGTGGGAGATCAGCCTGACGGGGAGAAGCGAGCTAAAGCTCGGTTGGTCATACGAGGTTTTAAGGATCCCGACCTTGGTCAGTACTCTACAGCATCTCCCACACTTTCCAGGCAAGGACGGCATGCCATCTTGACAATTGCAGCTCATCATCAGTACCGATTGTTCACATTAGACGCCAAAACTGCATTCTTAGCGGGGGACCGTTCTTCAAGAGTTAAGCCCATCTATGCTGAGCTGCCTCGAGACCTTGTGCAGGATCAAGGTTACGATGAAGATACCATTGCTAGGATTAAGAAGGTTCCGTACGGTTTAAGTGAGGCCCCCTTGGCTTGGTATCGGCGTTTGACTGCTGAGCTAGAAGCTTGTGGTTTCGAGCAGGTCCCAGCAGATAGGTGTATCTTTGTCCTTCGTGATAAGAGAGATCGGAGTAGAGTGCTGGGTATAGTCGGGGCTCATGTAGATGACCTTTTGATTGCTGGTTGTTCTGCCGGTGTAGATTCACAGTTCGAAGAGGCTCTGCAGAAACTCGTTGCTAGACTCCCTTTCGGTGAGCGCAAATATGCAGATGTCGCTCCTGTGCTCTATACAGGGCTAAATTTACGCCAGCACCCACTAACCAAGACCATCACTGTAGATCAGGCACACTACATCGAAAAGCTGCGTGAAACCCCATTGAAGCCCCTGAAAGACGGACTTTTGGACAAGTCTGGACAGACGAAGTTCTGGTCGCAGTTAGGAGCTTTGCTGTGGGTAGCAGTCAACACGCGTCCTGATGTAGCTTATGACATTTCTCATTACGCATCTTTCGGTACTCGTCCAGAGAAACGGCACATTGTAGCTCTCAACAAAATCGTGAAGACTCTTCAGTCCCAAACCTGCACGTTGACCTTTCAGAAAGTTGCACAGCGCTGGGAAGATTTGGCTCTAGTGGTTTTTACAGACGCAGGTCACACGAGCAGACCGTCGGGTCACAGTCAAGCGGGGGCTATGATGTTCTGGGCTCCTAGGGAAGTACTGAAAGGTGATGTAGTCAAATCTGTCTTGGCCGATTTTACTAGCAGTAAGATTGATCGTGCAGTTTGGTCCTCGTACGCAAGTGAACTTCAAGGTGCTACAATAGCAGCAGATTCTTCGGTGTCTTTGCTTTTGTTGTACGAACAGATACTGTATGGTTTGAAGGCCAGAGAGGTCAAGGCGAAGCTGCAAGCCAAAGGACAACCTAGAGTACTTGTGACAGACAACAAAGGTCTCTATGACAGCATTCAAACTGAGAAGCCCTCAACGCGACAGGGTCAGAAGATGCAAAGCTTGGTGTATCAGATTCTGTATGATTTGGTTGTAGATCATGGTTTTTCCACGTTTTGGGTGAATGCTGAGCATATGTTGGCTGACGGGCTGACCAAGCTTAGCAGTTCGGGAGGCCGAGTAGATCTGGTTAGAGAAGTCATGAGTAGTTGCCGCATCCGAATTACATATTGCACTACGTCTGGTAGGAAGGAAAAGCA